ATGAATAGATTCCAATAAACATACAATCTTCCAAGATTGAATCATGAAGGAATAGAAAATCTGAATAGACCGATTACTAGTAAACAGATTGAATCAGTAATCCAGAAAACCTCCAAAGAAACAGAAATCCAGAACTACACAACTTCACTGGTGAATTCTACCAAGCATTTAAAGATTTAATATGTATCTTTCTCAAACTTTTCCAAAAAATTGAAGAAGAGAGAACACTTTTGAACTCATTTTATGAGGCCAGCATTACACTGATACCAAAACCAGTCAAGGACACCACAAAAAAAAGAAAATTACAGGCCGGTATCCCTGATGAACATAGATGCTGAAATGCTCAACAAAATATTAGCAAACCAAATTAAACAATACAACAATTAAAAGGATCATATACCACAATCAAGTGAAATTTATTCCAGAGATGCACAGATGAGGTTTACATCTACAAATCAATCAATATGATACATCACATTAATAAAATAAAGCATAAAAATCATATCATTTCAATAGATGCAGAAAAGGTATTTGACATAATTCAACAACCATTTATGATAAAAACTCTCAACAAAGTGGGTATATAGAGGGAATGTATTGCAACATAATAAAGGTCATACATGAGAAGCCCACAGCTAACATCATACTCAGTTGTGAAAAGCTGAAAGTCCTTCCTCTAAGATTAGAAACAAAACAAGGATGCCCACTTTTGCCACTTTTATTCAAAATAGCATTGGAAATCCTAGCCAGAGCAATTAGGCAAGAAAAAGAAATGAAAGGCATCCAAATTGCAAAAGAAGGAGTAAAAACTGTCACTATTTGCAGAAAAATAAATGTATATGTGTGTATGTATATTTATACTTTATATTTATTAAAAAAACCCTAAAGACTCCACCAAAAACTGTTAGAGCTAGTAAATTCAGTAAAGTCACTGGGTACATAGTCAACATGCAGAAATCTGTTGCATATCTATATACTAACAACCAACTATCAGAGAATTTAAGGAAACACTCCCATTTATAATTGCATCAAAATGAATAAAATACTTAGGAATAAATTTAACTGAGGAGATGGAAGACCTATACTCTGAAAACTATGTCATTGATGAAAGAGATTGAAGATACAAATAAATGTGAAATTATTCTATGCTCATGGATTGGAAGAATTAATATTGTTAAAATGTCCATATTACCCAAAGCAATATACTGATTCACTGCAATCCTCATCAAAATCCCAATGCTATTTTTCAAAGAAATAGAAGAAATAATCCTAAAATTTGTATGGAACCACAAAAGATTCTGAATAGCCAAAGCAATCTTTTTTTTTTTTTTTTTTAAGATTTTATTTGTTTGATAGAGACACAGAGAGGGAACACAAGCAGGGGGAGTGGGAAAGGAGAAGCAGGCTTCCCGCAGAGAAGGGAGCCGGATGCAGGGCTCAATCCCAGGACCCTGGGATCATGACCTGAGCTGAAGGCAGACGCTTAATGACTGAGCCACCCAGGCGCCCCTAGCCAAAGCAATCTTGAGAAAGAACAACAATGCTGGAGGTATCATACTCCCTAATTTCAAACTATATTACACAACTATCTATAGTAATCAAAATAATATGGTATTGGCATTAAAACAAACACACAGATCAATGCAATAGAACAGAGAGCCCAGAAATAAACCCACACAAATATAGTCAGTTTATGACAAAGGAAGCAAGAATATACAATGGGGAAAGCACAGTTGCTTTAATAAATGGTGTTGGGAAAAGTTACAGCCACAGGCAAAGAATGAAACTAGACTACTATCTTATACTATACACAAAAATGAACTCAAAATGGATTAAAGATTTAAATGTAAGACCTGAAACCATAAAACTCCTAGAAGAAAACAGGCAGTAAGCTCCTTGACATTGGTCTTGGCAGTGTTTTTCTGGATGTGTCTCTAGAAACAAAGGCAATAAAAGCATAATAAACAAGTTTGGCTACATCAAACTAATCTGCACAGCCAGGGAAGTTGCCAAGTGAAAAGGCAACCTACTGAATGGGAGAAAATATTTGCAAATCATATGTCAATAAGGAGTTAATATCCAAAATATGCAAAGAACTCATACAGTCATTAAAAATGAAACAAAGAATCCAATTAAAAATGGGTAGAGAAACTGAATAGACATTTTTCCAAAGAATGCATACTAAGGGCCAACAGGTACATGAAAAGGGCCAACAGATATTTGACATGACTAATCATCAGGGAAATGCAAATCAAAACCACAATGAGATATCACTTCACACCTGTTAAAATGGCTATTATCAAAAAGACAAGTTTTAGCAAGTGTTGGCAAAGATGGTGAGAAATGGGAAGTCTTGTGTACTGTTGGTGAGAATGTAAATTAGTACAGCCACTATGAAAAATAGCATGGAGGATCCTCAAAAAAATTAAAAAAGAACTATCATATGATCATCAATTCAACTTCTGGATATTTATCTAAAGAAAATGAGAACACTAACTTGAAAAGATATACACATCCCCATATACATTGTACTATATTTACAGTAGTCAAGATGTGGAAGCAACTTAAGTGTCCATTGGTATATGAATGGATAGAGAAAATGTGGGATATATATACAAGGGGGTTTTACTGAGCCATATAAAAGAATGAAATCTCACCATTTGTGACAACATGGATGGACCTTGAGGGTATGATGCTAAGTGAAATAAGTTAGAGAAAGACCAATACCATATGATCTAATTTATATGTTTAATCTAAAAATAAATAAGTAGACAAAAATTTTTAAAGAATGAGCTAATAGATACAGAGAACAAAGTTGTGGTTGCCAGATATGGGGGTGGAATATTGGAGGGTGGGTGAAATGGGTGAAGAGGGTTAAAAAGTACAGACTTAGCTATAAACTAAATAAGTCATTGGATGTAATGTACAGCATAGTGACTATAGTTAATACCGTATTGTATATTGAAAGTTGCTAAGAGAGTAAAAAAAAAAGTTTTTATCACAAGAACCAAAAATTTTATAACTATGTATGGTGATGGATGTTAAATAGATTTATTGTAGTGATCATTTTACAATATATATAAATATCAAATTGTGTTGTATACCTGAAACTAATGTTATATGTCAATTTTATCTTAATAAAGAATTATATCAAAGGTTAACATTTGAACAAATGTAGATATTTGTGGCTTAAGTCTATTCAAGTCCTATCAAGCTTTTGCTTTGTAAATAGAATTTTCCTTTCTCAGAGTGATTTACAGGATTTCTGGCCAGTTTGTTGATGTTCTGAGTAAACTCTCCTTATTTTTTATTTCTTCTTGCTTACCATTTTGGAAGCTCATTGCTTTCTCTGAAAGTGTATGAATGATAAAAACTTAGATAAAACTTAAACTAGCAAATTGTAGTCCTTTTCAGAAGCCCTGGTGAAATATTTACTTATTTAGAATAGGGCCGTAGAGTGGTGAGAACTGTAGTGGGGAACCAAGTGCTAGTTGAAATTAAGAGATTTGGGTTGTTTGTAGAATTTAACATACTTTATCATAAATCACCAGGAGCTTGTTTATTGCCTTTCAAGTTTACCATTAGCAGACTATTGGAATTTTCTTCTTGTTTTTCATTTTGATATATAAATGTCATTGGTTCATGAATAACAAGAAGAATTATGATAGTTTATTCAAAGCTTCTCTGTGTAAATATCTAAGGTGGAACCAGTTCAATCCAGAATTTAATTGTATACCTATTATGTGTGTAAAAATGTGCTAGATGTTATATGCAAACAATGAATCATGAATCACATTACATCAAAAACTAATGATGTAATGTATGATGATTAACATAACATAATAAAATTTTTAAAATGTGCTAGATGTTTGATTTATAAGGGTTCAGACCAAAATACATATATTCCCAGCCCAATGGGATGTAAGGAGAAAAGGAATTAGTTAAAAAGGCTTTTGCCATAATGCAGAATCATTTGAGTCACAAATAGATGATCTTATTCACCTAGACAAGCACAAGCACTAAATGGAGAAGGAAGTATTCAGTAGATGATGTTGAACAGTGACACTTTGTTGGAGAGGTCATGATCCTCATGAGCAAAGCAGTGGACACTGGTAGATTTAGAGTTACAGCATGTTCTCATTGTTATCGGGGAAAACTTGTTTTAACTTGTGAAAGTGGGTATGAATTCTAAGGCTCTATTAGAAGGAAACATAATGCAAAAGTTCACTGAGCAAAAGTGGTTACATATGAATTGTCCCTGACTCCAAAGGAATGTTCAGTGTAGTTGAAGAATCAAGACATGCATATGTGAAACCATTATTGATTTGACAGAATAAGAACCTTCCCTACATTCTTAGCATAAGCTTTCTTTGTCCTAGAAGGCTTCATGGAGGATATGGGATTTGAGATGTTCACTGAAGAATTGCTAGACTTACTCATGTTAAGATTAAATTTACTTTTTGCAGTAGAACCTACTGTAACTACTGTTGGACATAATTATTGTAAGCAGTGAATTTCATTGTAGCATACTAGGGATAACAATCACAGGTTCAAATCAGACTATCTGGATCCAAATGCAGACCCCACAACTTATTAGTTGCAACACTGTAAAATGGGATAGTGTATTTCTTACCAAATTGTTAAGGATTAATGAGATAATACATTTACATATTTTAGAAATAGCATGAACTCTGGAGTCTGACAGACTTGGTTCAAATTCTAATTCTGCTGCTTGCTAGAGCCATTAGGCACTTGAGTTCTCCAAGATTCAGTTTTCTCATTTATAAATAGAGATGATAAAGCCTAACTCAAAGAGCTGTTGTGATGATTAAACAAAGTATTTTCAGGCTAAATTTCTACAAGTAATTAAACAAAACATATTATGTAAAGCACTTAGCAGAGTGCCTGACATATAATAAAAGCTCTATAAATAATGTTATGTTGTTATACAATCTAAGTCATGTAGAAACTCAGTTTTATCTTCTTATTCGTGGTTTTAGGGTGAACCTGGTCTGCCTGGATACCCAGGAAACCCTGGAATCAAAGGTTCTAGGGGAGATACTGGTTTGCCTGGATTACCAGGGACCCCTGGAGCAAAAGGACAGCCAGGCCTTCCTGGATTCCCTGGTAATATTCCTTTTCTTAAATGCTTCCTTCTCTCCTTCCTATCAACTCTAACCCATACCACAGAGCAACTTATTTGGCAGACTGCTATTCTGTTTCCCAATGAGATACTGACTAGCAACATCATCTTGAACCAGCTCTTTAACTTTTCTTTGCCCAAATTTCTTTCTGTATAAAATGAGAATGAGTATTACCAGCTCAGCAGGACAATATCCTCTGGGCAAAAACTGTTTGGTAGAGCATTTTTCAATCTTTGACTGCTAGCCACAAGTCAATTAGGAGACCTTACTATTTTTGTAGGTGATAATATACACTACCAGATCTTAGCTTGCTGCTGATTCTCTTAGAAAGTTGTGCTCAGGCACACAGTTAGGTGGCTTTTGGTAGGACAACTGTTCAGTTCTTTTATATGACAAGGACTGAGTCATGCAAGCAAAGGGACTTAGCATTATAGTCAAGTAAGTAGCCTGAACTACAGTTATACTATCTGCTCTGTTTATGCTTGTATTTAATTTGTTCGTTTGTTTGTCTTTTGGATCGCACAGTGGCATGGATAGAGTGGGCCTTTGGTTATCTTTTCCTTAACGTTTTATTGAAGTATAATGTAGAGTAAAATGTACAAGACTATAGATGAGTTTTCACCCGTATATATATACATGTGCCCACCACACTTATCAAGATATAAAATAGTTTCCTTGCTCCATAAAGTTTTACCCATGCCCCTTCACAGTGAAACCACCCCCCCGCCAAGGTAACACTACTATTACCATCAAGTAATTTCACCTGTTTTTGAAATTCATATAAATGGAATCATACAGTATATATCCTTCTGTCTGGCTTCTTTCACTCATGCCTGTAAGATTCATTTGTCTTGTTGCATGTGTCAGTAGTTTTTTTTTTTTTATAATTACTCTGTAATAGTACATTGAAGAAATACATAATAATCAATAACCCATTCACCTGTTGATGGACTCCTGGGTTGTTTCCAGTTTGAGACTATTAAAAAAAAGATGCTATTAACATTCTTTGACATGTCTTTTGGTGGACATACATACTCATTTCTCTTAGACAATAACTTGATAGTAGAATTACTGAATCATAGAGTAGGTATACGTTTAACTTTAGTAGATGGTGCCAGTTTTCCAAAGTGGTTTTATAAATTACAGTCTCACATGCAATCTATGAAATGTTCCTGGGTGGCTACTGGTGGCTTGTCATGATTATATTGTGGTTAGTACTTTGTATTGTGAAATGTCCAGTTGCCCATGTCCTCACCTCATTTGGTATTGTCAGTCTTTATAATTTTAGCTGTTCTGGTGGGTACATAGAAGTGTCTCATTGAAGTGTTAATTTACATTTTTAAATGAATAACAATATTAAACACCTTTCCATATTCTTATTGGCCCTTTGGATAGCATCTTTTTGAAATGCCTGCTCCATGTTGTTTTGCTCACATTTATTGGATTGTTTACCCTTTTTTCTTATTGATTCAGAGTAGTTCTTTATATATTCTGGATATGAGTCCTTGTCAGATACATGTATTACAAATATGTTCTTTCTGTCTCAAATTTGCCTTTCATTCCTAATGCTGTTGTGTGATGACGTTTTCTTTTTTTTTTTTTATTTGAGAGAGAGAGAATGAGAGACAGAGAGCACGAGAGGGAAGAGGGCAGAGGGAGAAGCAGACTCCCTGCTGAGCAGGGAGCCCGATATGGGACTCGATCCCGGGACTCCAGGATCATGACCTGAGCCGAAGGCAGTCGCTTAACCAACTGAGCCACCCAGGCGCCCCAATGATGACGTTTTCTTAATACTGTTGTGTGATGAACAAAAGTTGCTAATTTTTTTTTCAAAAGTTAATTTTAGTAAAGTCCAGTTTATTAATTTTCTTTCATAGTTAGTGCTTTTTGTGTCCTATTATAAAATATTTGCCTACTCAAGTTTATGGACGTATCCTTCTATTTTTTCTGTAACGTTTAAGGTTTAAGCTTTTATATTTAGGTTTATGATTTGTTCGAATAAAAATATTTTTATGGTGTGAAGTAGGGGTCAAGGTTCATTTTTTTTCAAACAGATATTCAATTGCTCCACACTCGTTTTTTTTCTTTTAAAGAACCTGGGATCTTCTGTTCTGCTCATCAAAAGACATCATTAAGGAAATGAATAGGGAAGCCACAGACTTGCAAAACATATATCTGACAAATGACTGATATCTGGGATATATAAAGAACTTATACAATTCAATAATAACAAGATATACAATCCACTTTTTTTAAATGGGGAAAACTATGAACAGACGTTTCACAAAAGAAGATATATGGATGGCCAATAAGCACATGGAAAGGTGATCAATATTATTAGCCATCAAAGAAATGCAAATTCAAACCACAATGAAGTAGCACTACATTCCTACCAGAATGGTTATTATTAAAACAACTGATATCACCATATGTTGTACAAGGATCTGAAGCAACTGGAATTCTGAAACATTGTTGTGAGTGTCAATTAGTTTGGCAGGTTTTTTCTTTTTAATAAGATGCACCATATGCCTACTCTGACTCAGCAGTTCCATTCCTATCTAGGTATTTATCCAAGATAAATTAAGACATATATCCGCAAAAATACTGGTGCAGAAATATTCATAGCAGTGTTACTCATAATAGCTAAAAACTGGAAGTAGAACAGATTTCCGTAAATTGAATAGATATTCATAATACCTAAAACCTGACAATGACCCAAATGTCTGATAATAGATGAATGGATTAAAAAATTGGTATATCCATACAGTGGAATCCTACCAGTTCTACCAATGTAATATTTTGGTGATTATTTTTATTATGAATATATAATAATGCCAGCCTCTGGATAAATCACTTTAAAACTTAAAATTATTCTTAAAAATATTGAGCAAATACCAGCATCTTCCTTGTTTTTCCCCCTATTCTTCACTGTTTCTGTGCTAACTCTATAAATTGTAAGTTTGAGTTGTAACTCTTAAAGCAATGCAGTTTTTCTTCTATTACTAAATTGAACTCTTTATTCTAGGAACCCCAGGACTTCCTGGAGCAAAAGGTATTAATGGTCCTCCTGGGAACCCTGGCCTTCCAGGAGAACCTGGTCCTGTAGGTAAGCATGAAACCTAAGGATTAGTTGTAAAACTAAGGCTCATATTCATTTTGGGAAAGTCAAATCATTTCTGGGAGCTGTGAACAGTTTCAAGACAAAGGAACTTAGTTCTACTTGTTAGGTACAAAGGAAACAACTTTTTTTTTTTAAGTGAACAACTCTTAAAAAAAGTTACTTAAAATTATTACTTTGGAACCTTATTTGGGGGGGCTCTTTCCAGGGAGAGTTATTTCAAATATCCTACAATTAGTGGAAGCTCTGGTATTTTTCGGAATGGCAAAGTGTAGCACTGTTGTTTACTGAGTTCTAAAGCAAGCCACTTCTCTGGCCCCACATATGAGGCCTATAATAGCACCCCATTCCACCCCCACACCTTACCCTCCTTGATATTCTAAAGCTAGATTAAAATGAGAAACTGGAAGTTTTTGGATACTGAGTGAATGATAAAGTTCTTCCTTATTAGCCTTTATTCCTTCTGTGCTTCTTTTTCACAAGTCGTCATTTAAAGGGGTGTCTCGGGTACTTTGTGTCATTTGGATAGAACTATTTGAAGCTAGTATGGAGAGAATGGGGAATATGGAAGGAAAGGGAATTGGGAGGATAGGTATAACCTGCTGTACCCTGTGCTTTAGGTGGTGGAGGTCGTCCTGGGCCACCAGGGCCTCCAGGTGAAAAAGGCAACCCAGGTCAAGATGGTATTCCTGGACCAGCTGGACAGAAGGGTGAACCAGGTGCTATATTTTTTCATTGTTCCTAATTTTCTAATTTCTTCCTTGTCTTCTTTAACTTTTGCCCTTTTTCACCCACAATGAAATTATATCTTCTTTCTTAACCTCTAAGCTGCTATACACTTTTCCCTTCCTAAGTACCTTCTTGCACTCTACTGAGAATATTACTTCACGTTTATCCATCAGGTTGCCTCCTTATAAAAAACTCCATATCCTTTCTTGCCCAGTTTTTCATGTGAAGAAGTTACCCAGCTCTTTTTATCCTTTCTGGATGACCTCATTTCACTATGCAATCTATATTCCATTTATAGATCTATATGTATATAAAGATATATTTAACACTTATCACAAGTAGAATATGTCTTTATAGTTTTCTCATGTTTGAATTGTGGTTCCATGTTGAAAACAAATCTTCTGCATGTTTCATATAACATAGTAGCACTCAGTAAAAAACTGAATGAGCCAAAATAATTTGTCCTTGTTTCATTTATTATTATCTATTTGAGAGTTTGGATTTATGCTCTGACAGGTCAGCCGGGCTTTGGAATCCCAGGACCCCCTGGACTCCCAGGACTTTCTGGTAAACTTTCATAAAACATACTAGATCAGTCCATATAAAGAGAATGTGCTCCAGTACATTTATTTTTCCATCTTCACCACTTACTGTTATAAAATGCACATACAACCCCAGAAAACTCAAAGCTAAAGTTATATCTTAAAGCAGTTCTTAATTAACAATTTAGTAGAAAGAGTTGTGCTACATAAAAATGCATTCTTAAGGAAATTTACATATAAATATCCCTTTGTTAATTTCATAAGTAACTGCTGAGGAAATGATAAAGAAAGCAAAATTGTAGAAAGAGGTAGATTTCACTAAATTTTTTTAAAGTCTTTCAGCTGGAAAAAAAATCCTCTTTTCTCCCTATGGAAACAAAACCAAAGTAATATAAGGAAACTCTTTAGAAATATGTACCAATAACAAAAATGGAAAACTTCATATTAATATACATCTTGCGTTTTGGGTGGGTATGTGCTCATATACATCTACGTGCCCTCACTTGTTCTTACTTTTCATTGTAAGCACCAAAGCATTAATTGAATGACTGATTGTGTGTACAAATGTGCCTGTTTATGTTCTGAAGTGACCATTAGCTATTCTATGGAAGTTTTTTTCAAACTACAGACATATCTCCTAGAAATTCCTATATCCTTCCCATGATCCCAATGTCAAAATTATTACTTTAATGTGCCACTGTTACATCGCTTTCAGGTATGTTGGTGGTGTAGAAAAAAAATGTTGAGAATAGTTTGTCTGGGTTGGGATTCTAAATCTTGAATAGAATTGTCTTCAGGGACATACAGCAACCACTGAAGATCCATATCTTCATTAGTCTCAAAATTAGCCTCAAAATATTTCTTCAAGGAATTTCCCCCAGCCATCTCTAACCTGTTCATGCCAATACTATAAACCTTTCTATTTTTTCGATTTTTATTTTCTCACAGCTACTGATCATGTGATCTTTGCTCTGTGTCCTAATACAAAGGGTATCTTTCAGGATCCAAGCTATTATTGTTTTTATATTTCTATACATACTCTAATAAATATTTCTGTAAGCAATTGAATATATTTCATAAAACGAATGGGTTTTTTGGACGGGTAAGGAATTTGGTGGGAGATAGAAATGATCCTAGCAAATCCCATTACTTGTTCTAATAAGAATGAATAGATTTAGCCTTATAGGCAAGCCTAATACAGGTAGTATCTAATTTGTTTCCTACTGTCACTTTGCTTTCATAGGTCAAAAGGGTGATGGAGGATTACCTGGCATTCCAGGAAACCCTGGCCTTCCTGGTCCAAAGGGAGAACCAGGCTTTCAGGGTTTCCCTGGTGTGCAGGGTCCCCCAGGCCCTCCTGGTTCTCCGGGTCCAGCTCTGGAAGGCCCTAAAGGCAACCCTGGGCCCCAGGGTCCTCCTGGGAGACCAGGTATGTACATGAGTGGTAGGGGAATAGTCTGTTTATTCATTAATTTATTTCATTTTGCTGGCAGGTTATTCAGTTTTTAGGACTTAAGACTCTGTAAGAACTTCTTACGAGTAAATAGCTTGGTTTATACCTAGCTCCATCCATTTCTGTGGCATCTAATAATTCTTTTCAGTAATGCCTTTCATCATTTACTTAAAGTTGAACTAAAACAAACCAACTTGGAGGAAAAAAGGAAATAGTGGATTTATTAGTCTTTAATAAAAACATAAAACTATACTGATAACCTGGCAGCAAAATGCCATCTGCATTTTTAATGTGAGCTTCTCAGCATGTCATCACAGAAATCATTTTAGTGATCACCCCATAGATGCTTGTGGTCCATACCAAAGTGTTGCTATGGTTCTCTCATATGATCAGCAAATGTCACCAAGCACAATAAAAAATTTTTTATCTTCTCTAGGAACTAGGCAATCAAATTTATCTTCAACATCACAGCATGATTAAATTGAATAGCGATCTCTTCATACCAGCTTCATGTCTATACCTCATTTGTCTTGTGTTAACTGCTCTTGTAGTCTCAATTTTGCATCCAATGTTCGCTTTTCATTTTGTGTATGTGCTGTGTCACTTCATTTTGCTGTTTGGAAATGCTTGTTTTCATCTGGGATTAATGTTGCTGAGCCCAACCACTGGTGACAGATTATTAACAGATTTTTGGGACTTAATATTCAGTTTTTATATTTTGAGAAATTAAAAACTTGGCCTTCATTGATTTAAAATAATAAGAGAAATCTAAGGTTAAAGAAACAAAACAGTTGTCCTTTTAGCCTTTGAAAGTCTCTGACTCATTTTTTAAATGTATTTAAAAATAAAAATCTCCATTTAAATTACCATAAACTCTGAAGTGATTGGAGTTAATTTTAATAAGATATGCTCTGAAAACATGAATCAAATGGGATCACATACTTTGTCCAGAGGATCATTTCAAAACCAGATTTTATCTGATCTGACTTGACTGTTTATAGAAGGTGTTCAGAGTTTTACCTTGTTTTACTATTGAAGAAAACCAGTGAAAATCACCTCAGCCATATTAACTCTTGCATGTGAAGAATTGACACCAATGTCTTGCTTGGTTATGCATGCAATAATTACAAAATAAACCAAACTATTATCATTTTTTATGTTTTAATCAGCACTCTGATTATTTGTTTTTTACTGGTAATGGAGCTCACTGTGGAACATTTTTGTGAAATGTGTCAACATAAAGACATTAGTCACAAAGGTGCTTTTAAAAATTACTGTTTCTAAATAGTAGGAAGAAGAACACCTTCCTCATGAGTAGTTTGCGACATCTCAGTTTATTCATAAACTGCAAATTAAAATGGAGTTTTAAACCCAATTGATCTTAGAATTAGTTGTTTTTGAGCTCATGGTAACGATTATTATAAAAATGTTTTTTTTGTCCTTCAAAATATGTCACATGTGCTGTCTTTGTTTTAGTGCTGATGCTAAGTGGTAATAATTTGGTTTATCTACAGGTGCATGAATATGAACTTCCAGAGTATTCTTTTATTGAATTAAAGTTTAACTTGAAAGAAGTTAGTGTAATGCTTTAGTTTCTTGATATTGCTAACAATTTTGATATTTTTCCTTTTTGTTAATGATGACATTGGGCCTTGGTGAACTTTGATCCCTATCCAGGTCCTCCAGGTTAGCTCCTTAACTCCAAAGTAGTAACTGCATGAACTTTGAAACTTTTCTTAAATTTTTATATATATTTATATGTATGTGTGTATATATAGTTATACATATATACATGTATATGTATACATATATGTATATGTGTGTATAAGTATATAATTCTATATATAATTCCTCTCTCTCCATATATATATATATATATATCTCTACCTAATATTTTCAAGTGCTTGAATGTATTTTAAGAGCATATATGCCAATTCAGTTCTTACATGTTGATCTGTCTCTGAAAGCTGAAAGAACTGTAGAGTCCAATGTTTCTTTTTTTTTTTTTAAAGATTTTATTTATTTATTTGACAGAGAGAGAGACAGCGAGAGCAGGAACACAAGAGGGGGAGTGGGAGAGGGAGAAGCAGGCTTCCCGCCGAGCAGGGAGCCCGATGTGGGACTCGATCCCAGGACCCTGGGATCATGACCTGAGCCGAAGGCAGACGCTTAACAACTGAGCCACCCAGGCGCCCAGAGTCCAATGTTTCTATCTATTGGAATAACCCAAAATTACCTAGTTAGGAAAACTAACATTTTAAAATTCATATATTTTTTGTAATTTTTAGTCAAAAATTTATAGTACCCAAAAGTGTATTGTATAATATTTTACCTTCACCTTCAGAGTAGAGTATATTTCTTATTTTTGTTTTATATCTATTAATGTAAATGAAATCAAACTATCCTTCAAAAAGGCATTCTTTTTTTAACTTTTTATTTAAATTCCAGTTAGTTAACATACAGTGTAAATTAGTTTCAGTTACAATTTAGTGATTCAACCTTACAAACAATATCCATTGCTCATCACGAGAAATGTACTCCTTAATCCCCATCACCTGTTTCAATAACCATCAGTTCTCTATAATTAAGAATCTCTTTCTTGGTTTGTCTCTGTCTTTTTTTCCCTGGGCTCATTTGTTTTATTTCTTAAATTCCACATATGAGAGAAGTCATATGGTATTTGTCTTTCTCTCACTGACTTATTTTGCTTAGCATAATACCCTCTAGTTCCATCCATGTTGTTGCCAATGGCAAGATTTCATTCTTTTTTATGGCTCAGTAATATTCCATTATATATATATATATATTACATTTTCTTTATCCACTCATCATTCTATGGACATTTGGGCTCTTTCCATAATCTGGCTACTATAGATAATATAGATAAAATACTATAAACATCAGGGTGCATGTATCCCTTTGAATTAGTATTTTTGTATTCTTTGGATAAATACCTAGTAGTGCAATTGCTGAATCATAGGGTAGTTCTGGTTTTAACTTTTGAGGAACCTCCATACTGTTTTCCACAGTGGCTGCACCAGTTTGCATTCCCACCAACAGTGCAGGAGGGTTCCCCTTTCTCCAAATCCTTGAAAAGGCATTCTTTTTTAAACAATAATATGTATTATCAGATCCTGCAAATATGCAATTCTTGACTTGCCACAACTCTTGTAATTTTTCAAACCATCCCATCTTCACATTTTGGGTTGTCACAAAGTTTTAAATTCTCCTGCTATGAAAATGAACTAATAGGTATAGAGTAAAAAAATTCCATACAACCGACACAGATTAGAAGCCCCTTACTCTTATTTGAATTATACACATAAAAACATTACACACTGAAGAATAGTTATTGGGAGCTGTCCAATGGAAAATTGCTGATTCACAGTGAGAGATGTTAACTTAATTAGGAGTAAAAGGAACCACAAATATCTGAATGTGTTTATTATTTCAAGATAAATAGACCTTTTTAAATTTCTAAGGAGGAACTAAAATGGGGAAAAAGTATATTCCTAAGTTCTGACTATTGGGAATGGCAGGAAATTTTATGAATTAAAAATTCATAATTTTTCAAGATTCTTTTTAGGAAGCCATCTTATCTGAACAGATTCCCTAGTTACCTATTCCTACTTACTACATCACTCCTTCCACAAACCTATAATTTCATAGAGCCATAGAGTATCTGATCTAGAAGTGACTAAGTTTTATACTTTTCAAAGAGATATTACTCACCAGACACTTGTTAAAGATGGCAAGACACGTTTTATTTAAGACTATTGCAGTAGGGGAGAGACAGTTGCAATAGGGGAAAGAAACTGAGCTCAACTGAATACAACAAGGATAAATGGGGATTTTAGTCAACCAGCGGAGTGAGGGAGTCAGTAGATGAAAAGTTACTAACATGAAACATCAAGGGTAGGTAGATTCTTGCTAAACTGGCCTAATAGAATTCTTGCTAAAGTCAGGCCAAAGACTTAGACATCAAGGTTGGGGGATAAGGGACTTGATCAGATATCAGCAGTGGGGGGACTCTCCGTAAACTGACTTGCTCAAGGATTCTTGCTAAAACTAGACTTCAGCATACCAAAAACAGGGCCAAAGAATGAGGCCTAGTTGAGAGGAAGGGTCAGGGGAGCCTGTCTAAAGTTTAATTAAGGAGAGAATCTTCATCACATATGAGAAAACTGAGGTCCAAAGATGTTAAGAAGCTTGCTCAAGGTCATACTGTTAGTCACTGGCATAGCTGGGAATCTGACTTAGGGCTTCCCAGTGCTCTGTTCAGTGTCTGTTTTACTAGTAACATATATCATCCTCTGACAAAGGCAGTTGTATGGCTCAATGCTTATGATCTGGCTTCTTATTCTAGTTATAAATATAATAAGTGATGAAGCAAAGCTGCTTCTGCCATTTTAGGAGACTCTTAGTTACAGCAGACTGGACCTTGCCTCCACTCTCTTGTTTTCTGTTACTTCATAAGTTCCACCAATCCTTATTAACTGCTTCTTGAGTTTTTCCTAAATGGATGTCATCAAAAAAATTAGGACAAGTGCATACTATTTAACTATCACCATGATAAAGAGAAAACTTAGGGTATACTTTGAAGTAATTTTGAGTACTCCCCTTTCTGACTTGCATCGAAGTCTGCTGCCTTGATCACTTCCAGATTTTAGTGTTCGCTAGAAGATTGCTTTCTTCTGGGGCACTAGATTATATTCAAAGAAGAAACAGGGAAGTAGCCACATCACTTTTAAACCAACTTGACATCTTATTTACCAGATGTACTCTAAATTACATAGTTATTGGAACCTGGTATCTACAGTGTTCTCTTCTTTGCAACAGTTGAAGACTACAACCTTAAGTGGAAACTGGATTTAAAATTGATGTTATATGCAACTGATGAATCATTGAACACTACATCGGAAACTAATGATGTACTATATGTTGGCTAATTGAATTTAAATAAAATAAAATTTGCCAATCAATTCATAAGCTTATCTTTAGTTATTACCACTGATGTACAAGACTTTAGGTATTTTTATTTTATTTTTTTCAGTTAAACTTTATTAGGTCATTTGAGAAATAATGGATCGATCACTTCATGTACAAAATTGACTTGGCATATAACTCATTAAAATTTTAATTCTTAGAAATTAAAATCTTAGAAGTTTTGCTATGATATGATCTGAAGTTTTCTTTATTAGTTACTCAGACCAAAATACATATTTCAGTGACTTTTTTCTAAGCATTCTTGTTATTGGTCCTTCTATAGCAAATACATATATAAAGTGTCTTTACTCAAATTCAGAATTATCTTAGGTAGGAATTCTATTTTATTTAACTAATTGTGTGGCCAGACTCTCTCAAACTGTCATCTTGAGTCAGTTTTCTGTATATGGTTTAGAAACCATTTAAACAAACAGAAGCTGATTTTTAGCCTTTTGAATTTCAAATTATCAAATGCCTTGAAAGTTTATTGCCTGGCAGTAATAATAATGTTTTATATTTATGTGACATGCCACCATTTACATCATATAATGTACTTTTATTAAGAGCTCCTTGAAGGCAGAGTTTGGGTATAGCTAATCTTTGTGTACCCTGTAGCACCTTGCACATGGCAGATATCAGGTCTATATTTTTAAAATGGAATTTGACCTTTAAAACAACTCTGCGAGGGAGGTTAGGGCAGATAACACTGTTCCTATTATGTGGGTGAGAAAACAAGCTCAGAGATTGAATTGTCCACAGTCGCATAGATGTAAATAGTAGAACCAACAACAGACCCTAGGTCTTCTAAATCCTAGATTCAGTGCTCTAGCACAATTTATTCTCTCTGCTAAGCTCAGTGTTTATAAATCATAGCAAGACTTCTAAGGAAAGGAAATTGTGTTTATAGTTAATTAACATTAACCAAGAGTTGGCCTATTTATAGGCTTTTTATCTTTTTATTTAATGATCCTTTTTTTAAATAGTTAATAGCCTGATTTAATATGTGCATTGAAAAATAATAAAGTAAATGTGATATTTTCTGTGTTTTGGGGCAGGATATTGCATGTCAAAATATTCTTAATGTACCCCTTCACTGATGGTCTTCACATTTTTGGAAAATTTGGCTCTTTATTTTAACATTCAGTGGTGAACAAATACATATTGGCTCTTTCTCTTTAAATAACTTGTTATAAGTAATAATTCACAGAAGAAAGCTTCTTGATGAATTAGGAAAAAAATCAGAATGTGGCTTCATAGAATGATTTTCAAAGAAGGCAAATAGAAGTACAGTTGGTAATAGCCATTGTGTACTTATATTTTAATTTCTCTAGTCACCTGTGATCTCTGTATTTTTGTCTAATGAGGCCTTTAAGGTTAACTGTACCTCTCTGAGGTGGTCTGAACATATCAAGAAATTTGCACCTTGAGTTTTTACTAAAGGAAGGCAGAGGCCAAGATAAATGTAAGCATTTATCTAAAATTATCCCTTTGTGAAGGGAATGGAAGACAATCAGTGAAATGGTACTCTTACCAACTTTAATGTTTGAGATGCTAACTTTTGGAAAGCCACAGTAGCAGTGTTAACATGATATCTTTAGTAGAGTTTTCCATTTTTTGGATTAATGAAAGCGAGCAGCTTATTTCCTATAATAAGCTCTATTTGAAAATGTTTGGCTGTCTACACTTCTGTATGGTTCTGTTTGCATACTGATTATGCTGTAGATATGAGAAATGCTGGCAAAGAGGATTATTGTTTAACTTGTGCTATAATGTGAACCACTTCTAACTCATAATCTTATTTTGTACTGTGTGATGTCTGATACTGCTAACATCGATCTTTGGGCTTTGGTGAACTCTGATCTTCCCAGGTTTTCAAGGTTAGACTCTTCACTGGTCAATTCTTTTCTTTTTTTTTAATGTTTTGTATGTATGATAAGAGAAATGCACTTTTTGTTTTTTTGCTGTAATCAGAAGTCATTGAAGAGGGCTGTTATCCTCAAATACTACCTGCTCTGGTATTTAACATATTGGTAAAGGTAATGTGACTTGTTTATAATCAAGTTTGAAATGACATTAGGTCTTTGTAGCTTCATAATAGGTAATCCATATGTGAAGACATGTTGAATTTTAAATGGATATACACTTGTTGTTATCTTTAAGACTGCATTAAGATTTTTAGGCAGGCATCTGGCCTATTTGTAACCTCTGCATATTGGTTTTTGTTGCATGACATTGCTCTGACATGTGTTTATGTGGCTATTTTCAAAAATGGAAGAGGGTTAATATTGAGTACTATTAAAAATAAAACATATATGTCCCTTATGTCATTAGCAAGTCATTAATTTAAATTTGAGGGACTCCAGAATGGAAGGTCTGAATTAATAACATGTAAATTTCCCAATATTTTCTTTTAATTGCAGAAAGAACAATGCCCATAACATGCCTAATTTTTTTTCAAATATTCTGATAACTTTTCAGACTGGGGAAGAGGATCATAAATTATTCCTTTTTTTCCCCATCTTAATCTTACTTCCTCATTGTTAGGCTGATTAACAGATAGTTTATTTTTTTTCCCCAATAAGACGATTTACTACCTGATTTCTAGTCCAAATTATACATTATGGATGAAACTAATACTTTTGCTTAGAAAACCCTATCTAGGGGTGTGAGCTCAGCAGTTGTTCTTGTTTGTTTATTTTAGTGCAAAATACTCCAACCCTTACTTTATGATTGGGAAGAGAATTTCTAAGTGTGTCTGTCTGGTTGCTGGCCTTGGGTGGACTTATAATTTAAACTGTTTAAAGATAAAACAGTTGTTACACAGTTGTGGACATGCTTCCTCTTTCTCATGTGCCAGATAGAATAGTGTTATATTATGAAATCACATAGAAATAGCTGAAAGTTTTAAAATGGACTCATATTTTAAAGATATGTTCTTACTTTCAGTTTTACTAATAAGGTAATAGTAGTAGTAACAATTTTTAAAAACCTCTTACATAATTCTTACTATGTACCAGGCACTGTGTTAAGTAATTTATACATATTATCTTATTTAATCCTTGGATCAACCTGGTGAAGTAGGTACTATTCTTATTTCCATTTTAAAGAGGAGGAGATTGAGGCCAAAGAGATTAATAAACTTCCTAAGGTCTAACAGCTAATAATTATTGGAGCTGGGATTCCAACCCAGCATTCCAGCTCTAGAGTCCAGCATTCTTAATCCATATGCCATGCTGCCTTGTTAGCATGTAGTCACTGATTCTGGGTAGAGTATTGGAAGGGAACTAAAGTCTGAATTTTATCTCAGATCAGAAAGATGACCCTTTGTCCATAGGTAAGCATGAACTCAAGTATTCTAAATTCATTTGCCTATAATATTTCCTTCAAAAGTAATCACTACATACCTTCCTTTTTTGTTGAAACCAATGAAAAACTAAGGTTACCAAAGAAGAAAATGTATAAGTGCTAACTGTTGCTTGTTCATCATTTAGTGCTTCATAATTAGTTTCTGAAGGCAGAACTAGTTGGTCTTAGCTTCAGCCACTGCTTAGCAAGCAAGTAACAGCTATTTCCCATCTAGTGACAAAAGATGTGGCCACTGATAAGATCTTGTTGGTTGTTTAATGGACCTGATATCTTTATTTAGAATGAAAAGTTAAAAACATAGTATAAGGAAAAGAACTTAGCAAAATCCTATTTTAAATAATTTTATTTATTCACCAGACATATGCAGAATTTTTCTTCAGAAATATTTAAAAGGCAAAGAATATGAAAACATGTTTAAAATAAATTCAAAAGTACTATATTGAATTAATAAATTTCTGACACTAAAATATTACCATTTATTAGTAAGCATGTCACTAAAATGAGATTAAACAGCTTAAGTAACTATCTTAATTGCGTAGTAATGAAAACTAAATAAAACTACTTACAAATACTACTTACAAAATAACTACTTATAAGTAAAGCAATCTGGGGTACCTGGGTGGCTCAGTCATTAAGCGTCTGCCTTCGGCTCAGGTCATATTCCCAGGGTCCTGGGGTTGAGCCCCACATCAGGCTCCCTGCTCAGCAGGAAGCCTGCTTCTCCCTCTCCCACTCCCCCTGCTTGTGTTCCCTCTCTCGCTGTGTCTCTCTC